TTAGATTACTATTGCTTTTTCATTTTCCATTTTTGGACAATTATTTCATGGACAAAAAAAAACACCTATGTGTGAACTGACTTCAGCGATAAACTCGATTAAAACAATCAATTCGTTCAAAATGAGCGTTTTTTCTTTACTATTCTTGTTTCTTTTTCGATTTTCTTCTCGTTTAGCTATCAAAAAATTCCATTTATATTTCTATTTCATGTCGTATACATTTCGAATAACGTAAAAAACACACAAGTTTTGAATAAAAATGTTTATTAACATAAATTATATATTAATATGAACTTGTTTAAACAACAATAGAAATCGAGATAACATGAACAAAGTAACTTCTATTATCGATATAGTTCTAAATAATAATCGATCATAAAATCACAATTTCTTTTTTAGAAAAATAGCCAGAATTATCGATGAAACTTGATGATTCATCACGTTTGAACTTATGCTTATTATCTCGATATATTCTGATTAATCAACATTTTTATTCTGATTTCAAGTACGTGCAATCGTACTAAGATATTACCCTTAATTAACGTTCTGTGCTAAGCAATTGAAAATGTTTATTCTTGAAAACTTCGTAGCAAGATCCTGATCGAAAATTGATACGATTTATCAGTTAATAATGGGTATTAGTAAAATACGCTCCAATCCACTCCAAGCGGCGTTTGGCGAACGGTTTTAGTAATCGATAGACATTTCTACTCTTAACTCGCTAGATCCCACACCAAGCCGCTTTAAGGAAAAACTCCTAAACAAAAATGTTAAATACCATTTTGGGTGGTCCAGTCCAACCCACTCCAAGCCCACTACAATCCATCTTCATATAGATCTCAATAAGATATATTATTTTCATAGAAAATGAACATCGAAGTCATTTCTCGATATATCTAGAGTTATTCAACTTTGAATTAAATCTCTTATTGTTTTTCAACATACAGTGGCCGCAAAAATTATTGGACCAGTAGATAAAGTTTTCTTGTCTCCTTTATATCTCAACTACTATATGAGTGAGAACAGTCTGGTTTTTGTTATATCATCGCCCATAGTATTTAAGGGTGTAGGTGTGGGTGGTGATTATGGGTGGGTATGAGTCTGAGTAAGAATCTTCAGTTCATTCATACACTCCCGCCCTAAGTTGCTAAAAATGATATGATCAATGTTTATTTATACTGCTTACATTTTTTCTAGTTCGTTTCATCAATTAATGATTTATATATATTAGTTTTTGTAAATGTAAATTTGAATATGAAAAGTTCAATGATTGGCTGCTTGTTAAAGATGTATCTATATCGTTGATTTTTGTTGTATATTCCACAATCTAAGATATGAGAATTAAATGTTTTAAAAGGCTACGACAAGAACATATTTGGTTATGGAGTGCTTTTAATAAACGTTGATCTGGAGTTGGTTCCGTGATGGTGGGAGTGGAGGTGTAAGGTATGGGTCTTTGTCTCGATCAAGAAAAAACTACACCCACATCCACGAACCCACACTCACACCCACACCCACATCCTGGTCAAATAGTTGACCATGCTTACCCAATCAGGAAACATCTGTGGATGTTTGGCGCTCACAAAAAATACTTTATTTACTCTCTGCAATCCAAGTGCTTGTATTTCGCCAAGAATTTGCTCACGAAATTTTTCTCGTTCGTCCACATCTACAATGTCGAATTTGTTAACAACAATATCATAATCTAATCCAATTTCATCCAAAAGCTTCATTGTGCTGGAATTATCTTTTACTCTGAATCCAATTACGATGAGACGTCGTGTCAATCCTTTGAAGAACGATATGAATTGCATACTTATATAAATGACTTCATCATTTCGACCAGGAACATCCCAAACAGTAAATTGTACACCTTGATATGGTTGAATTCTCGTTGCCGTTTCTTCACGACCTGTTTCAGCTAACTTTTCTCCCATAAGGCTATTAAGTAGAGTTGACTTGCCAGTCGATGTCAAACCAAAGATGGCAATATTTTCGCCTTCCATTGCATATGGCTCAGTTTGCCGTGCCAAACTTCGATCAGAAGTTTGGCTGCGTTCTTATCTTGTTCGACGAGAGCCTCGAATGAGTCAATCTTCTTTGCTTTCATTTCTTCAATAAGCTTTTGGAAATTAGCCAGCAGTTTGGCATTTTTCTCCTGATAGCGAATCACTTCTTCGCGTAACGCTGCGTTTTCCTCTAATTCTTGATCATCTATTTCTAAAAATTAAAAAATAGTTCTAAAGAAGCTAGTAGAATATACTAGTTGCTATATCATTGGAAGAAATTATCAGCAGAATCTGGAGACTTACATGTTTCTTCTCGATTTTTGTGAAACGTGACTGTTATTTCTTATTGAATTATATAGCGAGAAAATATTCTTTCGATTGTATCGTGCACCATGACAGACATTGTAAGAGTTCTCATTCGTGGCTGAAACTCGTCTGTTGTAGTTCATATTTGATCCTATAGTGATTGAATTGAAAGCGTTCTTTGTTGAAATCCCTGTGAAATTGGATTTTTCATGAGAAAAACCTTGTTTGATCTCAACATCAGTTTACAACCAGAAAAAAAGTTGATAAGCGCAAGCACTGTAGAGTTATAGAGCAACACGTACACAGCTACCACGATTTAAAATAGTCCTACACAAGAAGACAATGCGATATTGACTATATATTGCATACAGGTACTTGATAAGACACTACAGCTCTGATGTTGTTCAAAAAAGGAGGCGAATCAACATACCCAGAATATACTTTATCAGTGGGAAAAATATCAGCCCATTTTATCGGGACAAGGCATGCATATTCAAATGTGTCTTTGTCTAGGGATTCATTGGACACCCTTTAGCCGTCGATTTTGTTTAGATCATGGTTATTTTCTTTTTTTTTCATGCATCATTTTGTGCAGCCGACTGCCTTGAACAATATCATACCATGATATAATTTGGAAAACTTTTCTATGAAAAACATAATGTCTGGTTCATTTTAAGTAAGAAAGCTTCTGTCAATTTTTGAAAAGCCTCGTGATCAAAGAATTAAAAGTTGTAAGAGATCTGATTTATCATGACCAGCCGAAAGTTCTTTCAATATATTAATCTTGACTGACAAGCTATTTTTTCAATCATTTCCTAATCTGTGAAGTACTTGAGAAGATATAAGTTCAGTATAAGAATGTTTCTTTTACCTGGTAAACGAGTGTCTTGGCCACCGCTGATTGATGTGCAAACAGTTTCAACATTGTTGAGGAGTCTTGAATTAGCTTGTTCTTCTCTAATATTTTCTTGTCTAGAATATTGTGTCGGTTGATTTCTGTGTAATTCATCGTCTAAACATTCAAAAAAAAAACCGTTGATTGACTCGACTATATACAAAGTAGCTAATCACCAGAAGTCTGTTATAAATCAATTTTTTCTCTAAATAATCTATAATATCACACATTCAATCTACGCTGAATATATTTAGTTAAAAAAAAATTCCCATGCATCTCTGAGTACTTATTTAGTGAGCAAGATCATCATTTACTTACTTCTATGGGATGCAAACTTATTCAACAAAAGTGCAATGAACATGCCAGTGACTGTCGCGCAAACATTTTCTACATCAAGCATCTTTTGATAGACTTATAATGTATGTTAAGACCAAACACTGGGTTTATATCAGTGTATATCCTGATTGGAAAATTCCAAATCTTTCTGTTCGTTATTCTATCTTACAGCCAATGACTATGAGTTTGTCAGTTGTTTTTTTTCTTTCAGAAGAATATCTGTTATGGTAAATACGAAAAAAGAGAAAGAGATCTATCGCTCTATGTTTTCTTTTCGTTCTGTGAGCTTATCAATGATACATTAAGCATTGCAAAGTGCTACAGCCCATTTAATATCTACATTTCTCCTGAGTAGTGACTTCATGATTGTTTATGATAGGTGGGAAAAAATCAACTGCCACGACTCAAAAACTACATCATACACAATATTTGTATACAGCTGCGCCTGCAAGAATGACGACAGCTACTCAAGAGTTTACCCTACCTGAAGGGTGGGGTGTGGGTGTTGGTGTGGACATTATTAATAATCCGTACATACCCACACTCACACCCCACACCCCACACCCACACCCACCCACACCCAAAAATCATATCCGATATAAATAGGTCCATCGGGCTAAAAGTATGTATCAGTGAGCATTCTTGGAAATCTATCTAGTTTTTTATAACAAATTAGAGAATCAACTACCTTATCTCGATAGAATCGTCGGATCAGGGGTTCAACGGTTACTACTAATTTTTTTAAAATTCTCTTTAATTACTGAAATAATTGTATATTTTCCCCTCTAGTCGCAACATGAGACGACAGGAAGAAAAATGTGTCTGTATTTAGCGTTTTTATTATTATGGTTCCATCAAAATGCAAAATAGATAGCATATTTGTAATCAGCGTCAAAAACTGCATCAAATCATATATGTTTAAGTAAAAACTATATTCGATGAAAAATCGACCCCTAGGGTAGGGGTACAATTTCAGAAAAAAAGACCTAAGGAGATTCACAGGCCAGTTTTCCGTCGAAAATAGCTTTTACTTAAACATATATGATTGGATGCAGTTTTTGACGCTGATTCCGAATATGCAATGTAACAGGTGGCGCATAATAAATAAGCCTCTCAGTATTTTGCATCTATTTCACTGATACTTCAGTGCAGAACAAAATGTTTGTTTAGAAAAATATTCCTGGTGAAATTCTCTACACAACCTTATGAAAACATATGTTCGAACGATTAGCTATGAAATTATATCCAGTCAACATTGCAATGCATCAAAATGACTCACTTTCAATGCAATTGTTTTCATATTAACGATTTTCCGCCGCTCTTTCGACCCTATATAAAGAGACTCAATTGGCCATTTTGTAGCCCATGAAAAGTTCTATCGCTTCGACAAATACCTTTTTTGACATACTCTAAATTTACTCGAGCAAAATCTTTTCTTTGTTCCCCTCTGTTCACGTTCTGAGAATCCTCCATTAAGGCTCACCATAATTTTAATTTTTTTATCATAAATGGAAAATTATTATATATTCAAATTTATTACTAAGTTGAAGGAAAACACTTTTTCTATCATATCACTGCGAGCAGAATATTTTAAAGTGGTTTTCTGCAATGTTTGAGGTGCATAACATGAACAATTGATGATTTCAACACATTTTTATAGAGGATTGATCGCTGTGACCTCACAATCGTATCTGAATATTCTCTTTTAAACTCAATTAGAAAGAGTACACTCGAAAACACAGAAAATGTGCATTAGAATTTGTTTCCGTATCTGGTTTTCTAGAAGAAATAAAATAATTAATTTTCAAAAATGCGCGTTTGAAAGTGCGCCATTTTTTATCATTGTAGTGTCGACCTGATATAATTCTATTGTTATTCGTTGAAACATCTCTTTTCATCAGATTTTGTAGAGAATTTCACGAGGAATATTTTTCTAAAAAATGATTTTGTTCTGCACTGAAGTATCAGTGAAATAGATGCAAAACACTGAGAGGTTTATTTATTATGTGCCACGCGTTATTTTGCATTTTGACAGGACCATAATAAGAAAAACGCTAAATACAGGCATATTTTTCTTCCTTTCGTCTCATGTTGCGACTAGAGGGGGAAAATATTCAATTATTTCAGTAATAAAACAGAATTTAAAAAAATTAAATAGTAACCGTTGTAGCTCATGGTCTGACGGTTCTAACGAGATAGGATAGTTAATTCTATCTCTTGTTACAAAAAACTAGATAGATTTCCAAGAATGCTCACTGATACATACTTTTAGCCTGATGGACCTATTTATATCGGACAGAATTTTTTTAGCCTTATTAACTCTACATCTAATCAAATCACATTTTTCTATTCAGTTTTTCATGCTGATTCAGAATATAGTACTTTCAAAATACCCACAAAATAACTGAAGTTGAAATTTGACAATTTCTACAGAAAAAAAATTCAAGGTAAAAATGGTATTTTCTTTGTCATTCTAGTTTTTTAAGGTTTTCTCAGCCAAACAGTGATCGAATCGAAATAAAAAGTATATATTCGTGATCAGCTTTCCAAGCTCTATCAAACCATATACAAACGAACGATAAAAAATTCACCGCAATTTTTGGATCTCTGGCACATTACAAACAGTGATGGTACACCTAGAAACTTGAATTACTTCTCTAGCATATGAGTTTGGTAGATATCAGCAACAGCTATCCATTACGATGTATTTGCAAGATGCACCCCCATGAGTTTTGATTTCAAATACTTGGAATGTAATAGAGAGTTTTTATTTGTATTAGTGATTGTTAGAGAAAACTCTCAGAAGTATACATTTTCTTAATTTCTTCATCTTCCCTAGGGAAAATCTTTGATGTTTCAGCCCCGGATCCTTGGAAGATAGGATCAAGATCCTGCAAGGATTCGATGTTTTTTCCTGAGGAAACGACTAAATCCTGAAAGAAGCGTGTAG